GTCCCTGACGTCCACTGGAATATGTTTCTCGTTTCGGTTGTGAGCTGCTTTCACCTGTTGAAATATGAGTCTGTGAATGTGGGTTAGTGACCTGAGGTAATCCCCCAGTTCACATTCGAGTTGTGCCAGGGAAACTTCCTCTTGGGGTCCTCCAACCTGTGGGAGAGGCATGGGTCGACCTGTAAGCATTTCATGGGGGGTAAGATGGGTTATTCGGTTAGTTTGAGAACGCATTGCCATCAGTGCAATAGGCAAGGCGTCAACCCATGTTAAGCGGTTGTTGCTGTCAGCAATACCTTAGTATAGGTGCCGTCGGGGTCAAGCCGGACAACTCCATTTCCAGCTTTGTTTCCCGTCTCGCCTCTGACGCATGATCCCTCTACGAAAAGCGTCAGATCAGATGGGATTGGATGATTGTAAAAGTCCTCCCTTACCTTCATGACGGTGTCCGTCTCCTGGAGAAAATCATGGGGCTCACCTTCTGTGGGCAATACCATTCTTGTGGCTGGGTTGATTGAGGTACAGCGTTGTATTGTTAGGTCAGGTCCTGTAAGCAGAACTTCATAACCTGTTCGACGAGCTTGAGTTATCACAAAGCGTGGGCTTGTGAGCAGTGCATGTAATTAGTGTGAGGTATACAAGATAACAGGGTGGCCCATAGTAATAACTGAGGCCTTTTTATATGCGAAGGCTGCTGCTGTCAAGCCCTGGTAGCAGGGAGGGAGGCCTTCTTCAACACCATCCAATTTTGTGCTGTAATAAGAAATTGACTGTTTACCTGTGGGGGTGTCTTGCATCAATACTGCACATGTATACACTTGTCGCTCGGCCACATACAAATGGAATGGTTTGCTGTAATCTGGATTGGCCAGAGCAGGAGCAGTTTTGAGATCTTGTTTCAGCAGCTGGAACGCGCCCTCTGCCTCGGCTGTCCATTGTAATTGAGCCGACTGGTGTCCTTGACCTGCGGCTTTACTCAGTGCTCTTAGTGGAGCCGTTTTGATGGCATAATCACACACCCACGGTCTGCTGTAACCTGCCATGCCAAGGAAAGACAACATGTGACCAACAGTCTGAGGTTTGGGCAATTGAGTTATGGCTTCTAGTTGGGACGGTGCAATACACCTTTTGTCCCCACTGAGTTGCCTGCCGAGATACTCCAGTGTTTGCTGGCAGAATTGCAATTTTTATTTACTTACTTTGTGTCCTCCTTCTGCCAATGCAGTCAACACTGTAATGGAGTCTCACACTGCTCTTAATAAGCAGAACAAATCAAAATGTCATCAACATACATCAACATTGTAGATGGTATGTCAAGGTGATTTAAATCATTCGCCAGTACACGATTGAAAATTGATGGCGAGTGTACGAAGCTCTGCGGCAAACGTGTGTAAGTATATTGTTGGCTTTTGTACGTAAATGCAAACAAATACTGGGAATCTGGATGGACCGGTACACTGAAAAATGCTGAACACAGATCTATCACAGTAAACCATTTTGTGCCCGGGGGTATATTACTCAATAGTGTGTGTGGGTCTGGCACCACTGGTATTTCTTCACTACAATAGCATTGATTAATCTTAGATCATGGACTAGTCTATAGTCAATACTGTTAGGTTTTTTGATGGGAAAAATCGGTGTGTTACAGGGACTTACTGTTGGTTTAAGAACTCCTGCTGTTTCTAATCCTGTAATGATAGGCTGTATTCCTTCTACCGCTTCTCGTTTAAGTGGGTACTGTCTTTGGAAGGGTAATTTAGCATTTAGTTTGATGGTAAATTTGATGGGATCTGCTGATTTTACTAATCCTACATCTGTTTTACTTTTAGACCATACCTGCTCTGGGACTTGTTCTAATAATGATTCATGTTCTGCAGCCACTGCCATTTGTCTTTTCCCAGGAACTTTAATGTGTTCTGCTATTACTTCATTAGCTTGTGAATATGAGATTTTAAAAAAACAGTCCATCTTT